GAAAAAGAAAAAAGTCTTAAAAGAAGTTTATACAAAATACATTAATAAAGAAAAGTAAAATAACCCAGTTCATATGTTTAAAAATACACTCTTTGGAGTCCTAATATATTCAGATTTAGGCATCATTGCATTTTATTTTTAGTTACTTATATCTATTGTTGCCCAGTGAATGTATTTGTCCTATTCATGGATTTTAAAAATATCTGGCCTATTTGAAATCTTCATAACATTTGTAACCAGCAGCTCAATTTCTAGGCCTACTTATGGTCTAATCATCAGTGACTTAAAAAAATCCCATCTACCTATTCTTCAACATGACTAAATATAAGCAAAAGTTCATGATTTAGAATTCATTACCAACATATTAAGGTCTTACATCTCTGTTAGAATTGAGGGCATTTGAAATGATGTTACATCCCCTTTATATTAGCATACCTGAGAGAAAATGCTCTTGATTTGATATGAACTGGGCCCAAACTGACTTGTTTACATCACTGTAAACCACATAATACACCACATAATATGTACACCACATAATAATGTGGAAGTGAATGAGGGGTCCCGAAACTACAGTCCTTACTCAGACTGATAAAAGCTTGTAGTCAGGCCTGCCCTGTCTTCTAAATATAAATGTGATGTGTTTGATGTTTTGTCCTGAAGTTCCATAAGGTTTAAACTCTGAAAAGAACTTTTCCACACAGCATTTTACTGTGGTTTGTGTTGTACAAAGATAAGTGTGAAAGCACTTTAATTATCTGTGTTTTAATTATTTGTGTGGACAAAACTGACTAAAATATCATTTTGCTGATAGTAACATTATTAAGGAATGAACTAACATTATGATGTCTGCCTGAATTTCTGCCTTTGAAGATGTAGTGGGCAAGGAACAGGACCATCTTGCTAGCCAGTATCTACTAAAGAAGAACTTTTCAAATGCCATCAATTAATGCTAACCTCTTAGTGATAGTAACACAGAAATATCTAGTCCTTTCTTATGTGAAAATAAGTTTATTAAAACTACTCATTGGCTAAGTGTAGTGAGCTTGCTAATTTTTTTGTAAGTGTAGAAATTAACTGGTTACTGACAGGGGAACAAAGAAATGCATTTGGTAATCAGGTTCAGTGGTTTTCTACTTCCACCCGAAAAGCATATTATACTCTTTAAATATTTTTTTCAGGGAGAACAGTGCCTTTTTGCGGCAGTACTTACTTGGCTAGAGCTGACTCGATGGACTAATAAAGTAGGTTTGGGGCTGAATCAGTGAACTTAATGTCCTATCTGTACTAAAAGAGCTGAGTTAGCATCCCCCTCACACTCTGCCTTTTCTCCATTCATTTTGTGTCTTTGTATGGTTCTGAAGCCATTTTACAGCACAGGTGACAAAATAAATACATTTGACTTGTGCTTTTGCAGGTGCCATGATTAGTTTTCTCATAGTACTTCTTCGCTTTTACTGGAAGCAACACTGAAAAGTCAAGATTATTTAAAAATATCCAGTGTTCCTGATTGCTTATTAAGACCAACTTCGCAGAAAATGTGAATGATCCTGCCCTTAAAGAAGGCGATTAAAATAGTCTTAAAAGCACTGACCGTAGAGCCCGCGTTTATCGTTATAATTTATCCATAGGGATTTGTAGGTATAGTCCTTTTAAATAAGCGAAGCCTTATTATTGTAGCTTTCTTCCACGGTTAAAATCATACTAAAGATTTCTTTAGGTGCCACCTCAGAGGTTTATTTTATCTTGCAGCACCATGGAAGTTACTTCTCCAGGGGAAGATTTGGCACGTCTGGTTATAGTCAAATAAAATAAAGTTAACATTCTTTCTAAAGGTCGATTCTTTTACTTTCTAGTCAAGAGACTAAGAAACATAGGGAATATTTTTCTCATTCGGCGGCAGATGCTTTTAGCACATTATGGAAGGTCTTGAAAACCAGGAACAGGAAAACACACGTCAGTCCCCACTTCTATGGAAATCTGAACCCAAACCCATCTCCTTACTACCTCCCTGTGGCATAAAGGGTACCTTGAATAGAGATGCTTCTGCCGCCTCGAAATCTGGGGGTAGGTGGGTGGGAACCCAGCGTTCGAGAGGAGACCGTGGGAGATGCTCGCAAATGCCCGGGGCTTTGTAATTTGCAGAAGGAAGGGCAGCAGACCAGTGTCATCAGCATTCCCGCCGCGTGTACAGCTTCCCCTTAAAATACTCACCCTACTAATTCGCTGCGGAGGCATCAGGGTTAGAAAGCGGAGACGCAGCACCTTCTCTTCGGCGGCGGAAAAAAATCATGAATTGCCGCTTCCAAGAAATAAACACGCGCTGTCTGAAAGCCGGGGTGGGGGTGCCGGGGGTTGGGGTCGCCCCGTCCGCTCCCTCGGGCTGCAGGCGCGGCCAGCTTGGCTTGTGGCGCCCACTGAGAAAGGGGGTCGGCGTGCGGGAGAGGGGTGACCGCTGAGCCCCTCAGGCATGGGGGGGGGGGGCTGAAACCAAGACGCAGAAAGGCCCGCGGAGGAAACTAAATAAATAAATCAGACTGTTATTTAAGGCGCGGAAATTTAAAATATTTGGACAGGAAGAGAAAGGGAAAAGAAACCGTAGAAGCAAAGCTAACGGTTTTGGAGCTGCGCGTCTCCCCCCGCCGCTCCCCCGCGGCTTTGCTCGCCTGCCGCGGCCCGCCCCGAAGGGCTGCTCAGACCTGCCCCAGGCAGACCCGGGTGGCTGGGTTCAGCCAGGGTACCCCTCTGAGACCCGACTTTAGCTAACTCTCTCTTTCGAGGGCTTTGTAAGCAAATCCGACATTTTGAACGCATTTGTTGTGGGGCAGATTGTTCAGACTGGCTTCTGGTTCCATGGTGAGAAATGTCTTCACCCCCCTCCCCCTCCATCATGTAAAATACAACAGTCTCTACAAAGCAAAATACAGAAGCTTTTCCTTTCCTGGCTTTTTGGTGGGAGTTTCACCAGTTTAGTAAGTAAATAATAACAATGTATGTCTGCTTTTAGTTGTTCAGTGATATGCCCAAACCTCTTAAAATTAGATAATTTTCTGTGCGTTATATTTTTAAAAGCTTGAAAATTATATTTTTCAATGATTTCTTGCGACTTTGCATTAATGAGCCTTGCATTGGTACTTAATAGTAAGTTCATTTATTATCCCACCATAGAATAAAACATGTATTTCATTCCTCTAGTTGCACAGATTACCACAGGAAGAAATTTCATTCATTTAGTTAAATACGCAGTCATTTACTATATTAATAGTGATGCTGAATTCATTTTAATATGCCGAATGCTAAGAATTGATTCTATACCTTTCCAGCATAATCACATAATGGGTTTCTTTATCTGCATTAGTATTGGACAGTTCATTCTCTGTTAATCTCAGGACATAAAACTGGTTATTTCATTCTATTACAAAGATGCTAAAATAGTTTTAATTATATTGGTTCCATACAACAATACTTTAAAATGTGTCCTGGCTCAAATGGAATTCAGCAGTCACTGTCATTGTCCTGAAGTCAATTGCAAAACAAAGGCCAAATCCAGCAACCTTGCTAAAAGCAGTGTAATCCCTTTGGATAGGCTCAGCCCCCCAAATTTGTATTTATACATTGCCTGTTCTTTGTTTATCCCTGTATAGTTCTCTATGTTGTGCTCTTTTCATTATATTTAGTCTGTGCTTGCTGAATGTGTTACTATTTCTGTGCTCTTCTCAGTGCTACGTTGTTTATTCCCCATTCCGCAAATGCTATATTCATCTCTGCTTCTATCAGCAGGACCCAATAAACTATCTCAATATTATTTCGTTCTAATTTGTACATTACCCTATTTTGGATCTCTTAGTAAATATTAAACTGATACATTCACAAACGTGGAAATTTTTAACACTAGTTTTTGTTGGTAGACTACTGGTAGGGAACCACAAGTCATTTCTGAAACCACATTACATTAGCAATGTTTTTTCAATATGAGGATCCTTATTAATGTACAGCCCTTTTTTTGTCTATGCTCAGTAAACTTTAGAGTTTTTTTAGAAAAGATAAACTGACAACCCCCTTTCTCCAAGTCAGACGCTATCTCCAACTAGAGTGTATAGGGTGCCACTAAGGTAGCAAAAATGTGTCTTTACCTTCCAGTAGTCGTTTTGTAGTGATTGTAAACTTCGTGATGTAAAAAAAAAGGAAAACAATAGTATTTTAGAAGTATCAGAATGAGAAGTTTAATTTTCAATCTTGTTTCTGAGAAATAAAGAACTGTTTACAATTGAAATGTCAGAGTAAACAAAATGAACGTTAAATCAGGGGAGTGCTTTTGTATTTTATTTATACACATTGCTAGCTAGAGCTTGTCTCATTAGAAAACACCCTCCATCTATAAAAAGGGGTCTGAAGTCCGTTGTAACTCAGCCATATTCCTTGCAATTAATACCACTATTTTTGAACCCAGGGACATTAGATTTGGTGCCGAGGCTGTTTTTAGTAAGGAACTAATTAGACCGGATCGGTTTAAATTAAAACTGGATGCCTGTCGAGCTCCGGAGGGAGGTATAGCAGATGACATAGAAGCAAGACAGCTCCACAGATGAACTTTGCCTTCAGATTTAGAGAATGTTTCCCTGTGGGTGTGGGGGAGAAAGTGAGAAAACATAGTGGAGACTCAGCTGTATAGTGTAACGATGAATAATGTGAATGACTAGTTGTAAAGATGGGAAAAGAATGAGGACATCACGCAATGTTTTAGGCTGAGTGGCAAAGTGACAAGGCCATTTTGTGAGGACCAGCAGGGGTTTGTTTGTGGCCATGTAACCCTATCGGATTGTGAATTGCACTCCAAGGTTTTAATAACTCAAAATATGTTTCTTTTACTAATCTTCGTGTAATTTATCGTGTAGATTCTTTCATATAACGTGCCCCACATGCTCCGTCCTATTTAGGGGATTGATTTACAGATTATTTATGAACAAAAATTATAACATTGAAAATAAATGCGCACAGCTCCATCTGTCAGAGAGGTTTTTAATCAAGAACACAGCAATGTGACAGCGAGTGTATACTAAACATGTGATAAACAGTTTCTGAAGAAAAAAATTTTTTTTTTCAAACAATGGTTATTGATTTGGGGGGTAAAACCTTTGCTGAAAAGTTAAAATAATCGTAACTAAAGTATATTCCCCCTTTCGATGCTATTTTGTTGAGATTTGTAAATGTGTTCATTTTACAATGATTTGATTCCATCTCTTTAATGCAGTCAAAATGTTTAGAATATTACAAATAAAGCACTTCAAACGGCTGATCTGCCAAACAACTAACACCTAGAACATGGTATCAAATGTTGACAATAAATTCAGTCCCACAAGGTGCTGAGCATCGTCAGCGCCCGTTGCATTCATGGAAGCAGAATGCGCTCAGCACCGCGCAGCATCAAATGGTAAGTGACTATGGGTCCCCGAAATACTACCAACCGTATTGCCAATTCGAATATTCAGGCTTGTGTGGCGTTTCACGTGCAAGCGATAATATAATGTTATTAAAAGCAAACGTGATACCCTCTAAATTCCATTGTATTCAAATATCCACGTTTTGTGAGATGCAGCTATAGTAAAATGGTTAATTGAAATAAAAAGTTGGTGGAAAGCAAATATTTCTTAAATAGCGTCTACCTTCTCTTCGATTGTGGAATGACCAGAAAACTAGTCTCTCTCTGTTGGTATCACAGCCTTATTATACCCTTTCCTCTGACAACGGTTGTCTGCTGCTTGTTTTGAAACTAGGAAAGTGCATTGTTCAGTGCACAGAAAACACGAACAACCAAGCTTAGCTGTTTTAACCTCTGGCAAACAAAAAAGCCACTTACATTGTTTCTGTTCATCAATTTCAGAAGCAGATTTGTGAAAGATTAAATACAGTGAAAAACAAAAGTATAATCTCAATTTAGAAAGCAAATTACCTAGTTCTACAAGCTCTTATTAGTGTCCAAATGCAGCTATTTCCTAACACTTGTAGGGCCCCGTCCTGCTGTCTTTACAGGCCAAACGTCCTTTAAATCCAAGCTTTGCCTGAACCACGGGCTACACCCTTTAATATCCTGTTTTGTCAGAAGCAGTGCTTCAAATTGCTAGGCATGATCTTAAGAAAAAATATCACAGTAAAACATTTTAAAAAGGTAAATGTCAGAAACATAAAACATTTTAGCATATATCTTTTTTAGTATTAGTGAACTAAAACAAACGAAGAAAGTGTAAAATTATACACTGCAGGAACTAAGCAAAAGCGATCAACATATGTCCATTTGTGTCTCTTCTAGCATTGTGCGGATGGCAGGTGCAGGAAAATGCTATTGGTGTGATTTTTAAATATATTCATTTGCACAAAATCTACACCTTTGCAGTTTCACCAGACTTGCACTACTTATTTAAAAAAGAAGAAGAAGAAGAAAGTTGTAATAAATGTTATTAAAAACAAGGTCTATAAGCTTTAATGTCCAAATAAGAAGTTGTCCGTGTTTGATTTAATTCATGTCTGTAGCTTCTGCACTTAAAGTGCTGCCTTCCATTAGTTTAACTACATCGTTCCTCTTGTACAGTTTAGCCAAGTCGTAGGCAGTCTCTCCCTTCTTGTTCTGATGTCCCACCTTGCTTTCTGTGCGCTTAATAAGGAATTCCACTACTGGGAGGTGGCCTTCTTTAGCTGCCAAGTGCAATGGCAGGTTTCCCTCATTATCCTCAATGTTAACATCAGCGTTAAACTCCAGTAAAGTCTGCAGCGTGTCCAGGAAACCCGCTCTGGCTGCATCATGAATTACAGCGAACCCTGTACTGTCTTTCAGATCAGGATTAGCACCTGAAATTAGCAACTGCCTGGCAATTTCAGGATTCCCAAGTTTCATGACCTAAAGAGGAAAAAGAAGAGTTATAATACTCCAAATAATATCAGAACTGCTTGTTTCACTCACTTGTTTTAGAATCTTCATTTTGATATTTGAGCTTTGTCACTGTTGGAGATCTATTTTACCTATGCAGCGGGACCCCGATAGAAAACTGATGTGAGGGTAAACTTAACTTTCCAATTTCTACACTAGCCACAATAAGTTTACGAAGAATTTTATTCTTTCGGTGAGAAATATCTTTCTATCTCACAGGAGATTAATATCAAAATGAGCTAGTGTGGAATATTGAGGTTATCATGCTTTTTTATAATGTTGCCTTCTATCTCAACTTTTTCATTGCTAAAATCTACATATAATTCGGTTTTACTTATCATAAATATTGAGAAACTTTCATTAACTTCTTTAAACTCGTTAAGTATAAGATGGATGGCTTTCTGATATTTATGCTTTCAGTAACACAAAATGTAGGATAAACTCGCCAATAAATGTTTAAATTGTCTGTTTCTTGTCATTAAATGTCAGTCTGACCGTATAAATGTCCCGTAGTTCTCTATATAAAGAAAATAATCCTTCAACGTTTTCTGCAAGATCTGTGCTTCATTGTGTGCTGCCCAAAATGGAGAACTTAAGAGCGATGACTTAAAGTTCACATATGTTCTTGTAAAACAAACATTTTTATCTCAGAGCTTCAGAATTTCTGTCTAAGCAATCTGTCAATGTATGTTGTTTAAAATAACCGTCTTCAGAAGAGCGATCAGTGTTCCTAATGATTCTTTTTGTTAAGTAAAACTTTATTTCTTTAACCTTGTTTGATCACATCATTAACCTATTATAACTGAGCACAGGGACATCTCTGATTAGGCGTTTGAGTGGCTTGGCCTGACCCCAAAGTTCGCCAGAACTTCTGTCCCTTCAGCCTTTAAAAGAATGAAACAAGATAGATCGTTTATAATTTCCCATGTTACAGTCTATGTTTTTTCAAGACCAAGTATTCAACTATTCTAGCAGGAGACAAATTTATTATCAACATCAGATAAGGGAAAAATACCTTCTTTACTTCTTTAGAAATTTTCAACCGATATCTTGAAAATCTTGCAAAGAAGCTTTCTTTTACTAGCATAAACAAGGATTACAGTTACACTAGTCACCACAAATTACAAATTCTACACGGCATTTGTTGAAAATCTGCCGTTATTGAAAAATAAATGTGTATTAGGCTTTGTGAAAAAGGCACATGTAAAATACATATTATTATAGGATAGGATAGAGTTGGGATTGGGGAAAGGTTATCTGTGATAAGAGATAACTGAATGTTTCCTATACATTACCTGCCATCCCTTTCAATTCTGGATAGAGATTGTAAGAGGTACGGCTATACCTCTGGAAAATAAGTGAGGGCATCGTCCTCTTTTCCCCCCTTTTTCTTATTGTTTGGTAAATCCTGGGCGTATCTGTTATTCTTTTGGGGAGCCCATCCTCGATTCCTTGCGCACCCTAAAACTTCAGTGTGATATAAAAGGTAATGCTAGTCGGATTTAGGATACAATTGTGGCTTCAAATAGCAGTGATATTGTAATTTGGGGGTGGGGGACGTTGACGGGGGTGGGGTAAGAGAGACCCGTGGAACAAACCTGAAGGAGGTCATACTGAAAACTCAATATCTGAGGCCTGCATGAGTACTCATCATCAAAAAGAAAAAGTGCAGAGGAAAATATTTATAAGTAGTTGTTTAAATTAGCATAATTGCATAGGAGAATATAATTTCACTTTCATCCGGTTCATTACCGAGTGAACAATATTGGAAAATGTTGATTGACAATATTCTTGATCTCTGTCAACTACCCACAGCATGTTTCAGGTTTATGCGGACTGAAAATAAGTAGACAGACAACTCTGTTTTGACTGGAGTTATGGTTCATTAAATCGGTGATGATTAAGCTGCAATAAAAATGGATATTATCAGATGAATGCTTATGTTTAAAATAGCTGGGTAGTATACCAGTGTAAAATATTTCTCAAGGTAAGTCTGGTGATTGTTATTTTTTTAAAGCCCTATATTTACTGCAGCGCAACTGAATTTTTCAGCCTCATTTTAAGGATAAAAACATTGGCTAAACGTTTCCTGATTTCCTACAGAACTTAGTTTGTGTGAGGTTTCGATACAAGTTATTTCATTCTCTTATAAGGTGCCTGCAGTGTCACACAATCCCCTACTTATGTGATAATAATAATAATAATAGTGCAAGGATAATCGTATAGTTCTTGAGTTTAACTGAAACAGAAAAATAAGAATGATTATTGTGTTCAGACAAGAATTTCCTCTTTTCCAGATCCTGCATTTTGATTTTAAGCCAAAGACCCAGTAAGTGCCTGGATTTCAGTCGCAAACAACACAGTGCCTGAAAAGAACATTTCAGAAGTGAACAGTAGTTCGTATTTTAAAACAAAGACATGCTTTTAAAAGTGTGAACTTAGAAAAACAAAACTATGACTCTAGTTTCACATTTCCCTACACCGTGTACAGGATAAATAGCCAGAGAATTTCACCCTAGTTAAAAATTGCCAGTTTCACGTTTTCGTCTGTATTCTAACATTTTCACCATCATTATGATGATCCTAAGAGAAAAAAACTTTAACCAATTCCAATATTTAGCGGTTGGATCAGTTCCAACTACTGCCTCTAAATCTAAATACTGTAAATTAGGACATACAATCGTATAGCCTCCGAAATGAAATCTTGAGTTCATCCACTAGTGTCCGGTCTGAAAATATTATTTTTATTCAGCCTTAATTATGAATGGATAGGCAAGTGATTCAGACTGAACTCTAAGTCATTCGTCTAACTGTTAATGTACATCTAAAAGGTACTCAGTGCCTGTGCAGCATGTGTCCAAATGCAGAAAGGTCATTCGTCACAAACACCGTATAAAGGAAAAGTACCATCCACTCCAGAATAAAGAATCGAGAACATTAATGTATTTTTCTACCGTATGTTTTTTAAAAACAACACAAAACCTCAAATAATAATACGTATGTGTTTACAAATCTATGAGACAGTGCTCAGCTAGGAAGGTTTCTTTTCATCTCACCAACCTTTTCTTTGCCTTCCTTCCCCTTCCCCCAATAATAAAATTGGATTAAACTCACAGTCTATTTGATATTGAGGATGATCCCCGTTTAAAATAATGGTTTTGGGCCAGTTGTATTTCAAGTACGTCATTTTAGGGAGTTAGAGCCACTAAAGTTATAAAATATGGCAACCAACTAGGTTAAAAAAATACAGAAATTTTGTTACACCAGACTATTTAGAACGTTGTCTTTCAGCAACCCGGGTCACGTAGGTAGCAGTGATGAAATATTTTCTCTCTCTCTGGATACCAACCTGCAGCGCAGTCCTCCCAAATCCATTTTGGGCATTGACGTTTACATTCGTTTGCAACAAATTAGTAAGTTGCACTAGGTCCCCCCTTGCAGCTGCGGACGCCAACTCGTTCCCCAAAGGCTCGGCCATTCTTTAGGGTGACTGACGATCGAAAAAAAGGTGAGTTTGGGGTTTTTTTTAACCAGGCATGACATCGGAGACTGACAGAAGGACTGGGATGGTTAATCTTCTGGAGTAGACCTTGTAGTAAATACTCGTAAAAAACTGCTTGCCAAGAGCCCGCCCCTAAATTCACACGTGATTATTCAGCAAAACTGCAGCTCCACTTGAAAGAATATTTCTTTGCTTCTACACGTAGAGTAACTCACATTATGGACTTTGGCCATTTTAAAGGGGAAATATATTAATATATAATATCTTATATGTGTTACATATAACATATATATACACATACCTAGGAGACTAACTCAGACTGAAGAAGAAAACAACCCACCCTTATTCAAGTCGAGATTTGAGACTCAGCGGGAACAACTTCGCAGAGAAATCTTCTTAAGCCGTATGCATCCGTTATCGGTTGGGGTTCCCCCCTTCCTCGCAGGCAGCTGCGTTTATTCCAAGCCAAGTATGCAAAAAAAAGAAAAAAAGAAAAGAAAAAGCCAAGGGGAGACAGCGGGAGGCTGATCCGCTGCACAGCTCACACACTAGCTGCCTTCACCCTGACGTGTCTCGGTTTCAGCAGCAGAACAAATCTTCCTCGCAGAGCCTCGGCAGAGAACGCGTTCGTGGTCCCCAGCGGCTGCCGCCCTAGGCGGAGGCTCGGCAGCCCCCAGCAATGGTGGCTCGGTGCATTCAGAAGGGCACCGGGTCCTGTGGCTGTCTGAGGGCGGCTGCATGCCGGTGCCAGCGCCTCCGCCAGGGCTCACGGAAAGGGGGAGAAGCCCAGCAGCGGCGTCTGCTCCATCTAGCCGGCCGGGGCGATCTCCGAGGTACCCGGCGGCATTACAGCTGCAAGCCGCGGGGTGAGCCCTTCCCGCCTATGGCTCTCCGTGCCGCAGGGCTCCGCGGATCGGGGTGCTCCTCTTTCGCTTTCCGCAGCGAGCGGGAGGAGGCAGCGGCTCTCCAGGGCGCTGCTTGGGCT